TGTCAGGAAGAAGAAAGTTTGAACCCATTCCTGTGGACACAGATTTTTCAAGGTGCTGTCTCAGGGGGATACTGATAACATTCTTTTTCCTTTGTCAGTGGTGCGGGCATTACTGCAACAATCTCCTTTCGCCAGGCTGTAACTGCAAGTCAAAACAACCCACTGCTTGACCCAGAAAAAATGCAAGCAAACTCAGGTTTGTCACGTGTCCTCAGTCATTTTTCTTCCATTTAGTGAACTTTCAGATCTTTGCTTATCTTGAAGTTTTGGCAGCTTTAATGGACCAAAGCGCCTCTCTCTAGTATTACTTAGGTGACTGCAGTCACCTTCTTGAGACCATTTTACCACTGGAATATGGTTATTATTTGGGAATGCTTTCTCTACATATCCATAATTTACTGTTCTGATGATCTGGGGAGGACCTTGAATAGTGAGTTATTGGCAGGATAATAACCAATCAGTAAGTTCTGAACTGAGCATAGGAGTATTTTTTAGAATTATCAAGGACTCCATTGCCTAGCAAAAGAAAGCCTGCATGCTGAAAGGATTGCACCTGTAAATAGTTCGACATGGAAACTTTCAAGAGAGAGAAGATCACATTGGCACAAGGTAAATTAGCCAGAGTAACTTTCCTAAGAGGAGTAAAGGGACAAAGCAGTGCCTCAGAGACCAAACTAGTCTTAACACAGAGCTTGAGCAGTTTCTGGAAGGGATTACGATATGACTGTCCCAACATAGCAGACCTGGACTATGACACACAGCTTGCCTTCCAGGTCTGTGTTTGCATTATTCCCTTAAGTGTTTCCCTGTTATGTACAGAAGAAGGGGATGTGAGAATTGGAATTTTTTCCCCCTTTTTCTTTTATCCAGTGTCATCATCAGATGAGTCATTTTCTTCCATGATCCAAGCAGTTATGATGTGTCTGAGTGATTAATGTGGGTAAAGGTACACACCTTCCCTGAGTTATTTAGTGCAGTTTCACAGAACATCTGCATTTTAAAGAAAAGAGCAGCTTGGAATCAATATTCACTGCAGATTTCACTAGAAATAGGCCTACCTCCACAGTGTGAATTTTTTTCAGTTGTGTATTTTGGGTGGAGAATGGAGAAAAGGCCTTTGTTTATCCTTTAAGGCAGCTAACAAGAGTTGTGAACATGTTGATTCTTGCTTCTGCAGTCGGCATTTGGCAGATCTGGTAAAGGCAACAAAATCACCATATGCTTTTTACGCTTTACTTGAAGGAACACACCCTGTGCATTCATCTCTGTATGATCAGTCAGTTTTAGAAGTTATATCTTGAACCAGTCTTGACTTCCAGATGTAAAATTTACAAATAATGAGCCAAATCCTCAGCTAATGTAAACTGACCAGCTCCCATGAAAGCAAGGGAGCTATTTCTATACTCAGCCGTTGGTATCACAACATTTCATAACATCAATGACCTGGGACCTTTAGACTTGCATCACAAAACATACACAAAATAAAATTATATTAGCCCATAATAGGAAACTATTATTGTGTATTTTACAAAACAAAGTGCTAGGAATTGATAATAGAATGTTTTCTTTTCTCTTTCCTAGTAAAATTTATGCAGGAGATAAGTAACCTACTGAGAAATAACCTTCTTCAATCCTTCTGACATCCAATGGTCCCATTAGAAGTTCTACTAGGAAACTTCAGAGGATACTAAATACATATTCCAGTAGGCTAATAAACTTCAGAATAACATTAACATTTATGTATCAGGAATAAGTGATCTGGAAAGTTGTAATTAGGTCTATAGGAACTTGTGGCATTGAAAATATCTATCCATCTATCTATTTAAGGTCAAGAGCCAAAGCCCCCTGG